TTGACAAGTGGACCAGAACCTCTGTCCCAGTACCCAGGACTGAGCACCCTGGTACCTGACACCCCAAGCTGCTTGTTTTCTCACACACGCCCAGCACTTTGCTGCCTTTGTGCCTCTGCAGACGCTGCCCCTCCTTTCGCTCCCATTTGTGTTGTCACCGTCCTTCCACACCCACCCCCACCCTTGTTTACCTCTTGCTCAGGCCCCCTGCGCAGGCTGGTCTTCTGGGGCCGCCTGGACTGCACCCCCAGCCTCAGGCTCAGCAGCTTCCTTCCTACCACTCCTGCAGCCAGGGACTGAATCACAGCTGTTTGTTTACCCAGGCCACCTTCCTCATCAGGCCCTGAGCTCCCTGAGGGCAGACACTAGGTTTGAATCATCCGAGACCCAGGTATCACCCAGCCCAGGGCTGGACCCAGAGGAGACAGTTGGATGAATAAGTGAATGAATGGTGGAGAGGGAGGAGGAAAAGCTCAGAAGGAAAGGAAGAAAGGGAGATGAGATTCCAGAAACAGCTATAAAGGAGTTCAGGCACTGCTTGATCCAGTTGCCTATCTCCCACCTCTACCCTGTGAGTTTTACAGGACCAGAAAGGACAAAACTGCTGAGATGCACAGCCACAAAGGCAGAGACTGGAACCCCATGGCAGGACATCGGGCCACTGGGCCCAGAGGGCAGCTCTGGGCCCCTTGTCAGAGACGCTGGCCTAGACTGGGTGGCTCTGGCACCTGGCAGGCCCAACCCTCCTGGGAGGGACCAGAGAAGCATCACAGCCACATAATGGCTAAGAAAGCCCGAGTCAGGAGATTCTTCCTGAGTTTATTCAGCCCATTCCTGACTCTTGGCATGGGGCACCGCCTCTGGGCACTGCAGGCTGGACGAAGGGTTTGTGCTGAACAGCTTTATGACAGCAGTGGCTGGCGGCACGTCGCCATTTAAATACGTCCCCCAGAGTGCCCACAGGTGAGTAGCCCGGAGCCAAAGAGGGCAGGGGAGCCAGGATGGGGACCTGGGCTTGCTCTCGTGCTAGCACCTTGCCAGGGCTGTGCAGGAGCTTGGGACCCGCTCCATCCTTGCCCCTATGGCCCTGTGTCCACTGCCATGGCCAGGCTGCGCTTGGCTGCCAGGGGTGCGGGTGGGGTGGAGGGGCACAGCACCAGCTCCTCACTGGCTCCTCGGGGTGACTTCTGCCTTTAACCACTGCCCACACTTCTGCCTCCCTGCAGCACTTGGCCCACTGCCAGTCCAGGCCCCTACCAGACTTCTGAAGGGCACCAACATGCTCGGGCACTGCTAGGCCCCTGCTTTTGCTGTTCCCTTTCCCTGGAATGCTCTTCCTTCCTTCAGAAACCCAAGGGACTCATAATCAAGTATGAACGTCTGGGCTCCCCAGGTTCGGGCAGCATTCTTCAAGCACGAACAACACTGTAACTCCCATCATACTATGAGTAAGGCTTCCGGTAGAAGCCTGGGGCCCAAAAGTGCGGGACACAAGGGAACACGTGGCAGCTTCTGCCAGTGTTTATTGACTGAGTGAATGATTCTCTTCCAAAGAGGCTGCTGGGCGTTCTGCCTTGAGGGGTAATCAGGGAGCTCCACCCAAGGAGGCAGCCCAGACTCTAGGACGAAGGTACACAGACCTGGGTTTGAGTCCAGCTCTCGCAACTCCTTGTTGTGTGATTCTGGGTGATTATTTAAGGTCTTCAAGGCAGTTTACTTTATAAAAAGCTTTGTGCAGCTAATTGTAGACTCAAAACTTAAATGATCCAAACTTCATATCTTATAAAAATTAACTCAAAACTGATTAGATTTAAAAGCAGAACATTAACAAAATGATCAGACATTTGGGAAAAAATAGGATGAAAATTTAAACCTAGGGTTAGGTGAAGAGTTTTTGTTTGAGACAGAGTCTTGCTGTGCAGTGTAGGCTGGCCTTGACTTCACTATATGTTCCTGCCTCAGCCTTCTGACTGCTGGGTTACAGGTGTGCACCAGCAAGCCTGGCTCCTAGGGGAAGATTTTTTGCATATGCTACCAAAAGTATAATCCATGAAAGGAAGAACTGACAAACTGGTCCTCACTGAAATAACAAAACAAAACAAAAAACCTTTCCTCTGTGTAAGGTATTTGTGAAGGGCATGACAGGAAAGCCACAGAGGGGGAGAAAATATTTGCAAACCATGTACCAAAAATCAAGAGTGAAAAAACAAAACCAGTGAATGGAAATGGGCAAATGACATGAAAGGCATCCACTAAAGAGAACATCGGGTCCAGGAAAGTGCAAATGAGAGCCACACTAAGAGAGTGAGCGGTATGGCCACTGGGACAGCGCTTGCCTGGTATGCAGGAGGCGCTGGGCTTAATCTCCGACACCACAAAGGTAAGTAAATAAAATGAGATAGCACGCACCTATCAGAATGGCTGCAGTAAACACACAGAGGTAACAGCACCAGTTGGCAAGATGTGGAGGAAGGAATCACCCACACAATGGGGGTAGGAATGTACGTGCAGCCACTCTGGGAAAAGTCTGGTAATTTGTTAATGAACATGTGATTACCAAAGGACCCAGGAATTAATTGCACTCTGGGGCATTTATCTCCCAGAAATGAAGATGAATATGAATGAACGTTTATAGCAGCTTTATTTATAATAGTCAAAAACTGGAACCAAGCTGGGCATAGTGGTGCATGCTTGTAATTTCAGCACTCAGGAAGTTGAGGCAAGAGGATCACTGTGAATTCAAGGCCAGCCTGGGTTGTATAGTGAGTTCAAGGCCAGCCTGAACTGTATAACAAGAGCGTGTCTCAAACAAAACAAAACAAAACAAAACAAAACAAAACAAAACAAAACACAACACTGGAAACAGTTAGTCATGGTGGCACATGTTTATAATCCCAGCACTGTGGGAGACTAAAGCAGAAGGATCACTCAAGCCCAGCTGGGCAGTTTAGGGACTTAGCAAGCCCCTGCTTTGAAGTTCAAAAAAACAGGAGACGGACTGAGAATGTAGCTCTGTGTAAAGGCCCCAGGTTCAATCCCCAACAGGGGCACTCACCTGCCCTTCACCCATGGGAGTGGCTGAACAAACTGTGGCACAATCCACACCATAGAGCAACTATCCTCAGTGAGAGATGAACCAGATGGTCTCCACCTAGAGGTGGAACTGAAGACCCTTTGGTATTAGCATGCTGTGAAAATGACAGACATCCTAGTAGAACACTTATTCCTAAACCTCAGTGTGGATCTTTTCCTGGGCTACCGCTTGCAACAATCTTTCCTGGTGACCGTGGCAGCGGCAGCGAGCCACACCTCCGGGTCAGCTCTGGGATCATGAGGGCAAACAGCTGACGCTCTGCGGTGGGCTGTGTTTAAATGGCCATGTCCCTGTCATAGATCAGGAGCTCTTCAGACCGACACACACCACTGTCTGGATGATTTGCCAGAGGACCACGCTGAGTGTGGAGACAGAGAATCCCCGAGGGTTACATGGTGCACTTTCCACTCACACAGCGTTCTTGAAAGGAGGAAATGGCAGAAAGAGAACAGATTGTCAGGGGTTAAGGACTGTGAGGGTGGCATCATGGTGCCATCAGGGGAAGTCTCTGTGTGGTGAGGCAGTGCTGTGTCTTGACTGTGTATACTGTCATATGTGCAAACTGACACGTGCGGCAAGGCTACGCACCCACAGAGGTGCGCATGTACACACACAGTTCTTGTAGTTCGAATGAGATCTGAATGAGCTCTAGGGCTCGTTTCTGGCTAAGGTAATAGAGCTATGCAAGATGCTGTCACAGGAGGAATCTGAAAAGGGCGCATGTGGCCTCCCTATTCACTTTTTTTTACAACTGTCAGTGAATCACTGACATAGGCAGGTAAGTGTGCACAAACGAAGCTTGAAGAGCCCAAGGCCTGTCAACCCTGAGTGGCAGACCTCCCTTCATAAACCCATGGGCCTCTGTGCATTGGGAAAAACAAGAGGAAATGGAGAATAAGTGAGGGTTTGCTGCGGTTCCACACAAGCAGGCAGCTGGCTATACACGGGACTCCAGGAACTGCAGGGCAGGGCTGGCCCATGGGCATTGCCTCTCTCTGGTGCTGGAGAGATGCAAGTGTGCATGGACCTCTGACAGTTTGAAACCTTTGAAGTTTGAAGCCAGTTTGAAGGCAAGGTGGGCTAAAATGAACAGGGTGCAAAACCTGAGACTTGGGTCAGGAATGGACACCCAAAGATGCTGGGCACAGGAGAGGTGGTCACTATTCAAGGCTGTGAACTCCAACACAGAAGCTAGATGGGAGGCTGGAGAGTGTGGAGGCGCACAAGGATTAGGATTGTGATCAAGCAGTCCTCACCGGCACGGGATAGAGTCTTTAGGGCCTCAAGCCAGTTCCATCCAAATTCCAGCAAGTGGTGGGGCCTGGGGAGGGCTGCTGGGCCCTGGCTCACTGGCCAGAGCATGACAGCAGCTGTTGTTGGGCCAGGTTTAATGGGCTTTGCTGTCCCGCCCTGACAGCCTGGCTTTTAGATGTGGTCCCTACACCTCCCATAACCGGGGTCCCAAGCCCCAGAGACGCGGAGCTGAGAGCTGGGCCTGACCTCAGGCTGCCGCAGCCCTCTCCACCCCTCCCTTCCCTTCAGGGTTCAGGTGGGGCACTGCTCATACAGGCCCAGTCCCGAGGACCCTCTCCTAACAGGCAGCAGGGCTCAAGACACGCTCTACCCACCTCGGGCTCTGTGGGAGTCCTTGTGGGCTCCGGTATCAGTCAGAGCCTAACCCCTGCCTTGGGGCTCTCAGCCCAGGGACCTTGCTTACACAGCCAGTCTAATGAGGATCACTGAGGGTTTAGAGGGTGTGACTGCTGTGTGACCTGAGGAAAAACACTGTCCCTCTCAGGGCTTCAGTGTTCCACCATCTCTGGGTCTCTGGCCTCAGAATTTTTTGAGCGGACGATGCCCGCCGCTTTGCAGGTTTTGGTGGCGTGACTCACTTTCCGGCCCCGCCCCGGGGTTGCACGTGACCACAGGTGGCAGGGTGGGAGGGCTGGCACTTAGTCACCGGCCTGCCCCTGCCCCGGCTCTAGGCTGCGGCAGCTTTAGCGCCCTGCTCCGCCCGTACACTCAGTTCGCCGGCTTTGCTCAGGTCGCCCTCGATCGCCAGGTAAGCGAGTGGCTGCGGGCCGCCGACGCTCCAGCTGCGCCCCTGGGTCCCCTGGGCACTCTCAAGCCCGCGGCTCCTCCGCGCGGGGTTTTAGGGTTGCTGGCGCCCGAGGATCTCGAGACCACTCCCTTCCCGGAAGCCCCGGGAAAGCCGGGCGCCGCCGAGACCGTGTAGTCTCCTGCCTGGCAGTGGCAAACTCAGGGAAGTTTCCGCCCGCCCTGGTTGCCTAAGACTTCAGGCAGCTCAGACCACCTGGCGTGAGAATCGGGCGACTGAGACGGGCGCGCCAGGCCCTGGGCCGTGGCCACGGGCCCCTCGCCCGCCTCCTCCCCGCCCCGATCTCTCACCCCCCCACCTCGACATCTCTCACCCCTCCCCCCACGCCGCCCCGATCTCTCACCCCCACCTCCTCGCTGGGCCCCGCCCCACCCGCCACCCCGCCCCGCCTGCCCTCTGACCCGCGCCTGGCAGTCACCCGCTCTTTCCCACAGGTTCCTCATGGGAAGAGGAGCCGCTGCACCCCGGAGGCTGCACAGCGCTCGGTGTCCCGGCCGGCGCCGTACTTAGGACTCGGTTTTGCGGAGCAGCGCATCACGTAACCGTCTGCCCAAACGGCGCGCGGGCAGGCGACACCATGGCCTTCTCCCAGGTGCAGTGTCTGGACGACAGCCACGTGAACTGGCGCTCCAGCGAGTCCAAGCCCGAGTTCTTCTACAGCGAGGAGCAGCGGCTGGCGCTGGAGGCCCTCGTGGCCCGCGGCCCGGAAGCTTTCTACGAAGTGCTCCAGCGCGAGAACATCCGCGACTTCCTCTCGGAATTGGAACTCAAGCGCATCCTGGAGACCATCGAGGTGTACGACCCGGGCTCGGAGGATCCTCGGGGCACCGGCCTGGCCCAGAGGCCCCAGGACAATGGGGTTGGTAACTGCGGCGGCGGCGAGGAAGCCAGCGGGGTGGGTGGAACCCCTACCGAGGCCGAGCAGCCCCCCTCGCTGGAGTATTGGCCCCAGAAGTCGGACCGCTCCATCCCACAGCTGGACCTGGGCTGGCCGGACACCATCGCCTACCGCGGCGTCACCCGGGCCAGCGTCTACATGCAGCCCCCCATCGAGGGGCAGGCCCACATCAAAGAGGTGGTGCGCAAGATGATCAGCCAAGCCCAGAAGGTGAGGAGCCTCGAGTGGGAGTTCCTGCAGAGGTGGCTGCGGCTCTGCATGGGGATCTGAAAACGGTCTCCTGTGGTTCTCTTTGCCACCTTCCTGGAAAGAGGTTTCCTTCTGGACCTCCTGTGATTGCCTTACCTTGCAAAGGAGTAGGGTACTTCAGCCCTTTAGCAGGTGACAGTGGGCTGCCGCATCCCAAAGGGCCAATGTGCATTCCGTTGTTCCTTGGCTGGTAAGCAGGTTCCCCAAAAGTTGCTTTGAGCGGTGGGGAGGAATGGCACAGCTTTTTCTTATCTACTCTCCTTAGGATGACACTGAGTCTCCTGAGAGTCAGGAGATTCTCCCACACACCATGAGCTCTGGTGAAGAGGGCTTTTGTTGAGATCTGGGGTGATAGGTGTGGAAAGAAGCAATTGAAGTCTGAGTCTGGCTTGGAGATTTGAATTCAAATCTGCTGTTTCCTGGCTATGCTGAGCAACTGAGAGTGAGTTGCTCAATTTCTCTGAGCCCTTTTGTGAGCTTTGCAAAGGCAAAAACTCCCCTGGCCAAGATCCCTGAGGAGATAAGCGAGATGCCTCAGGACATACTGTGGTCTTCAGTGGAAAATGAGTGAATTTTACTGAAGATCGTCCACTTGGGCTGAACTTTGCCATTAGAAAGGTTTTCAGGCTCCATCTGCCTCCCCTTCCTACCCTGTAGAGCTGGGCATTGCCTCACTGACCCACTGACACACATTGAGAAGGGTGCTGGCAGAGACAGAGACATTTGCAGACAGCCTGGCCATTGTCTACAGCCGAGACCACAGGCAGGTGCTCCTTGCAAATGCCTTTACATGGTTTCTGAGCACATCCCGGGTGACTGACCCCTAGTGGGCTGTGTTGAGAAGGACTCTGAAGCCAGTTCTGGTTTGGGCTTTGCGAATGAGCATTCCTGGCTGAATCTTAGCCCTCTTGCTGTTGTAGCTGGAGTAGAGCAGCTAACTGCACAGGACCCAAATGCTGGCTTTGGGGATCATCCTGGCTCATAGGCACCTCTGGGGAGCTCTTGGGCGGAGACACCAAAAGTGAGTTAGAAGCTGAAGAAGTGGCCTCTGGCTCAGGTTTCCAAAAAACAGTTCCTGACCCACAGTGGGGCTGGGACCCAGGTGGCTCAGGGGCTTCCAGTTTCTAATCTGTAAATGGGTAGTGAGAAGAAAAGCTGAGCCTCTTGCTATTGTGAGGATGGAGTATCTGGTGACAGAATTGAGGAAGGAGATGGAGGAGTGGTGGGTAGGAGGGAGGGATTTTCATAGTTTTCAGGTGGAATAACCCACTCCGCAGCTGCTAAAGGGCAGCAAGGTGCCACCAGTGATTGTGGGGGTGGCTCTGGCTGGCAGAACAGTCCTCGAGAAGGTCTGCTGTGATCCCCATCACCCAGCTTCGACCCCTTTTTTTAAAATGGGGAAACTCAGGCCTGGGGTTGATCTCCTGTGCCTTTCCTCTCCTTCAACAGTACCACTTTGCAGCTTGGCCTGGGCGTGGCCACAGTGACTGATCTGCTATAGACAGAACGACAGACAGCCTCCCAGAGGGCCAGGCTGGGCACTCAGGATTTCCTCTGCTGAGCCCGGCATCTTTTCTATAACCACAGCTGAGACCCAGCTTTTCCATGTAGTCCTGCTCCTCTACCCCTGAACAACCACAGGTTAGTGGTGTCACCTGTCTAAGGTGACAGGAATATGCTGGTCTCCAGTGCTAGGCCTGGTCTATTTTATGGCACTATAGTAGTGGCTTCCCAGGTCTGACAGGAGGAGCTTCAGGGGCAGTGGAGGCCAAGTCTCTCATGTCACAGACAAGGGACTTTACTGTGTGGAGGGAGGGTTTGTTCATGATCCCCAGTGCTATTTTGATCCAAGCTCTAGCTCTCTGGCCCTTTGGGAATCCCTGCCACATCTGTCCCTGGCCTATGGCCAGAAAGTGTACATGGGTAAACAGTGATCACAGTAGCCAGTATGGGTGGAGTGGTGTGCAGGGCAGTGTTATCTTCCCCATTTCTTAGATGTAGAAACTGAGGTCTGACTGGTGAGTCTGTGTCCAAGATTACCTGGCTGGTCTTGGATGGAGGGTGTTGAGCAGACCTGTGTTTCAGTCAAGGGCTCGGGCCTGTCCTGTGTGCCTGCCCCTTGTGCCAGGGTGACAGTAGCAGGTCAAGCGACAGGCAGGGCTAGGGAGGGGCAGCTGGGCCAGGAGACCTGTAATCCTCGTCTCCCCCACCCTGGCTGCTTCCCAGGCTCCTGGGGCAGGGTGCTGGCGGGTGCTGACGGGGTGTTTTGCTCGCCTGGTGGGGAGCTGCCTGCCTTGGCTCTCCAATGACCACCTCTTGTCCCTTTGCCCCTGCCTTCTCTTCTCACCTTACAGCAGTGCTGGAGAACCCAACCCCTTGGTCTGGATGGGCATTTTGCTGTCCTAGCTGCAGGCCACCCATTGGCCCCCTTTCTCCAGGAGTTTCTGTTGGCGCTGAGTCAGGGCGGCCCAACCTGCCACCTCCTCACTCACCCGGCCCTATCGTCAGCACAACAGCAGACCCTGGGGCAGGGAAGTGACACAGCACACACTCAGCCCACGCAGGCTCGGCCCCTGAGGAGTGGTTGAGTTCCCATCAGAACTACCCTACTGTACCCCACTCCCAGATACCAGCAGTAGGATAGTGGGTAATAGTACGGGATCAAGCGAGTGTTGTCAGGCCCCTGTTGTGCCACTACTTGGCTGTGGGACTTGGGACACACCTGACACTCCTGCCATCCTGTCTGTAAAATGGGTACAGGCATTCGAGATTGTTAAGGGTCCCTTTAGCTCTGACACTTGGCTGCCCTGTAATTGTAGACTCCTCTGGGACAAGGAATGGGTGTTCCTGCATCTTACACCCCTGGCTGTGTGACCCTGAGCCGACAGCTTGTGCCCTCTGAGCAGCCCTCCAGCCCAGTGTTCTCTGAGTTCCAGGTGGAAGGTCACTTGTGTGCCCTCCTTGACCCTCAGGAGCTGAGATCTATCTGATGAAAAGCCTCCTGTGGGTTTCTAGCTGCATACAGGGTGCTGAGCCAGTAGGATTGTGCCTGGGAGGGACGAGCCCAGCTGCCTGAGCTGCACCACTCAGAAAAGGTGAGGCTGGGCTGGAGTGCTGTGGCCCCAGCCAGAAAGGAGCTCAGGTGTCTGGCAGGTGACCTTGCTGGCTGGTGCTGAGTCCCTAGACCTGGCAGATCCCTTTGCCAGTCCTTGACAGCCCAGGGAACAGCCCTGGGGCAGAGACGACCATGATTTATCATTTTATAGCTGGGGAAACTGAAGGAAGATGTATCCCCAGGGGTGAGATCCCAGATCTGCACCTTCCAGGTCAGGGCATGGGAATGGAGACTCAGAGAAGTTAAGTGTCTGCCCAAGGCCACTCAGCAGGAGTAACCTGAGCCCAGGTTTTATGATGCTCCATTAACCCCCATCTTTTCTGTCAGTCCCTGCCTTCCACACTGAAGTTCTGGCCCTCAGCTTGGCTCCAGGAGAATAAAAGCAGCTTAATGAGGCATTTATTAAATGCCAGCTATATGCCAGGTGCTAAGCGGGCACTTTACTTACACTGTGTAATCCTCACCACCACTCCATAAAGTAGTTGTCTTCATTGTCCAGAGGAGTAACCTGAGATCTGGCGGGGAGTGGGGAAGAGGGGTCCTCCGAGAGGGCAAATAACTTGCTCAAGGCCACAGAACTGACAGGTGGAGGGGCTAGTTCCAGGACCCAGGTCTGAGCTCTGAGCCCTACTCCCTGGAGAAGCAGTGGGCTGGTTCTTCCCAGTCTGACTCAGTACAGAAAAAGATGTTTTCCTCTGGCTCCCTGACTCCTAGACACTGCGCATCCTGGGCTGGCCATGGGAGCCATGGCAGTGCTGGCCCCTGTGGCCTGGGAGTTGGCCAGCCCCTTCCTGAGACCAAGAGGGGGCATCCAGTGCACACTCCGCTCCATGCATCTCATAACAACATCACAGTAACGACAACCTGCAGACACAACAGTTTTGTACATCCTGTCGTCTAGTGACATAGAGCGTATACTGTGTTCGCACAGCAAAAATCTAGAAAGGAATTTTCCAGAACATGTCCTTTATGTTAAGCCTTGCACTAAACCAGCCTGTCCCCTGCACAGAGAGAGCGAGAATCTACAGTGGTGATGGCCCAGCTGGAGCCCTGAGGGGCAGTGGTGGCCAGGCTCCTACCTCCTCTGGCAGCTCCCGGCCCAGAGCCTAGGATGCACACCTGTTGGGGTGGGAACCATCTGATACATGTCCCAGGTGCTGGCTCCTGTCTGCTCCTCAGGCACTTGGGTCCTAATTGAGAGTTGAGCTGGGAGAGGTCCTGCCAGGAAGGAGGCGGTGCAGCCTCTCTGGATCTGGAGCAGGCTGCTGCTCCCTGCCAGACTGCTTATATCCCAGATGATCTAAGCCGATGAGGCTCAGAATGGGTCATACAGGGTCTTTGGTTGGCTGAGGTTCCATGGAGTTCTGGCCTCCTTGCAGCCAAGAGTCCTGCCCCCTGGGCCGACAGAGGGGCTGGTCTTCTAGAGGCCCTGGCTCACCTCTGATTTAGCCATTCCCATGTTGCACAGGCCTCGGTTCCTTTGTGTGTACAGTGAAGGCTGGCTACGCCTTCTACAGAAGTGACAGACATGAGTGCTTGGAAGGACTGAGCATGCCGAAGCTGCTCAGTGGGACAGAGTTGCCCCTCCATATGGAGCAGCTGAGGAGGGAGGAGGCTGGAGGCTAAGCCCCTGTGCCCTGGCACATGTTGGCCCCTACCAGGCAGGCGCTAGCCTGGGTGCGCTTCTCCTGCCTCCTTCTGTGGGGTCTGAATGACCCATACCCAGGCTTGGGCCTCTTCCCAGCTAAATGCCTCATGAGGAAGTGGGAAGATGTCATCTTGGTGGACTTGCCGAAGACAGTCTCACCTCTGACCTCAGTTCCACAGTGAACTCAGAGTCAAGGTG